CTTGGGCGACTCGTATGATGTCACTCTGAGTCATCTGTGCCCTCTGCCAACAGAGGACAGCTGTGGTTCCTGTCCACTGCTTGTGGAGGTTAGAGGAGTTAATGAGTGAAACACCTCTGTTCGAGCAGATGTTGTTAATAGATGCTAGTTACAGGACCTGCCCTTCGCAGCAGAGGGTCCCAGGTTGTATCTTCTAAAGCGATCGCACGTGGGACGCCAATTCGCGGCAATTTGTTGACTATTAGTGTATGGCCGGCCGCTGCTCTAGGTAGTTTCTCGCTTAACCCTCAGAACAGTCCTGAAGGTCGGGTGTTATTATGCCCTGATGACTCTGAGGTCACCCGGCTAGTGAATGACAAAGCCGGGAGTCAAACCCTGTTCTCTCTGACCCCGAAGGCCACACTTCGAGAGGTCATTGTTTCTCCAATAGTAGCAAGCGAGCACCAAGCAGGGAGCAGGCAAATATACATTTACTTGCCATGCCTACGACTAGATTTTTACTCTTAAGAATGGAAAGATAACACATCCAAGCCACCCGCCCTGCCTGTCCCAGATAGCACAGAGCTGGGCAACGTGTCTTCGTGGAGCATGGCTGGCGAGGACACAGGGTCCCTGTGCTCGCCATGCGCTTCTCCCCAGACTGTCCTGCCGTTTCTTCCAAAGTCTGTTAATTTGGAAAACATACCTCCATCTCTGTGTTTGCGGGGAGGCCCACGGACTTGTGTGTTTGGTCCATCGCATGGTAAATTGCTCGATCACATTTACACGCATACGCTCGGCCAACAATTTATCAAATGCCGACCGTATGTTGGGTCTCTGCCCAGTCCTGAGCGCACAGTGCCTGCCTTCGAGGGCAGAGTGGGAATGATCTCGAGATGCAACATACAGCAGTACCGATAAGGCACAGCAACGCTCGTGAAAATGGCCACGTGGGCCAAGTACCTGCGTAAGTTGTGATTCAGCACGTGTGTGGCGATGGGAGGCGTCAAGCCAACTTTATAAGGAAATAATAGCCTTTGAGTAGGAAATGCAGGGAAGAGCAGTCGAGACCCTTGGAACAGAAGTGCGTCCTGCGTGTGGGGATGGGGTGTCTCCTGGATGTGGCCAGAGGAGCGGGTAGCGCTGTGGGGAGACACCAGGGGCGGAAGGCGGATTGAGGTTGGACTCCGGAGCGTTTGGATGTTATCACCGGGCGTGCGGACTTTGTCTTGGAGGCCAGAGGGGGAGGAGGCCATCGGTGGTTTTAAAGCAGGGACACGCCTGTGCCAAGGTGTGGATTGTAAACTACACCCAGGGCGGTGGCGTGGAGGAACGAAGGAGATGGTGAGGGCAGACGCACAGAAGACGCCTGCGAGACAGGCCGTGAGGGTGGGATCCCGGGGAGGCTGGGGGTAAGACGCCCTGGACCAGGGGGTGGCTGGTGGCTAGAGAGAATGTGGCTGGGGAGGCCCCGTGCAACATTCAGTGAAGATGTCAAGCCACTGGGGACTGAGTGGGGTACCATGGCTGCAGATGAGGGTGACCAGACTTAGCAAGAGACACTCAGTTCAATTGAATGTCAGGTAACCAGTGAGTGGCTCTCTAACAGAAGTACGTCCCGTGTCATATCTGGGACAAGAAATCTGTGTTCAGTATAATTACATCCCAGACACGGCACGCGAGGTGCCTCTACTAAAACGTGACCATTGAGGCAGGGCCCTGGTTTCTTTTTTTTATCACGAAAGCTGGGATGTCCCCATCAAACTGGGACGAGTCGGTCACTCTAGGCTGAACGGATGTCACCTGAATTGAATTTCGAGAATCTCCTGACCCTTTTGCAACCTCCGTGGGGTCTTCGGTTGGGGCGGGTGCTGTGCGCACCTCGGTGCGCGGGGGGGGGGGGGGGGGGGGGGG